AGATTACTCTGTTTCAGATTGGATAATTTTGTTCTTTATTTCCACTCTTCAAAGAAATGTAGCCTACCTCTGACCAACAAGAAATTCCTGCGAGGAAACTGCTCGTGTTTTAACTTGCTTTCTCCTGTGGTCACCTGGATATCACCTTGGGTACGGTATACTGTAATCAGCTACCGATAGCATGTGTGGGTGCAAGACTGTTGTTTTTCTGTCATAACTGCTTGCACTTAGACCATATTTTGCTATATCCTAAGCTCACTTCATGCTTTGGTGGTCGGTAAAATGGTCCGTGTAAACAGGTTAAAGTGAGGCAGTTGGTTGCACCCAGTATTAAGCTAGAATCACCTTATCTATCAGTGGGTCGGAAAGTTTTAACAAGCAATGATCTCGAATGCAGACTGGTATGAAATTAGACATTAAAATCACTTGTAGTTTGGATCTATAGATGCCTCCTGAATGGCAAGTCTCTGTAAACCCCATTACAATCTCTTGATACCCACTGTTTTATTACAAATGATACTAAGTAGAATTATGCAGTGCTTTTGATGTAACTGATGGCTTTTCCTTCGTGATGAAACTAAACGCTTCAAGTAAGAATATATACAACGCCGACGGCAGAAGGTTTGATGACGGACGATTATTAAGGTTGATGCTCTACCGATCAAAAATCTCTTAAGACTTCTGGAAGGCAAGATGAACACTTTAAATATTATTCTGATTAAGCTATGGCTTTAGAAGTATGCCATACTCTGTGAACCGATAACGATCCACTCAAAGAAGGAAGAGTCTAACAGTAACCTCAAGTGGCAAACCTTATTAGTAACGCAACTCAATAATAAAGTAAGTCCAGTTTGAAAAGTGAAATCTGTTGAACAACGCGGGTAGTTTCCAACAGTTAATATTATTCGGTAAAAACTTATGGTTTTGATTAAGATTTCTATTTTAAAGCATAAAGCATGTGATTTCGTTCAGACATTTTTTAACCCCTATCCTGTTTCACTGTACTTTTCTAGTTTAATAACTGTTGAACTTGACCAGACTTAAGTATGAACCAGGCAGTTTCGAAACCATTATTACTGGCTTCAACAACAGTTCAGCATTGAACAGTCATTGCTTTAAATGAATTCCTTATTGGTTGTTGTATCCGAGGGAATCGAAACACTAGGAGTTAAAACTACTCCATCTATTTTTAGATATCTGCAGATAAACCAACAGTTATTTATAGTTTCTATGTAACAGTGTAACAGTTATTTCGGTAAAATCAATTCTGCTCAGTATACATTTTCTACCAAGTGGTAATCTTACTAGTGTAACCACTTTCCCTGACTACTGTTGAGATGTAAACAGAAACTAACTTGTCTTGATATTTCCTCCATCTCTTCTTCAAATGACTTTCCTTCCTCAAGTTCATATCGGCTGATAGTATTTATTGAGGTAAAAATAGATACTTAGTTGGTTGATTTAACTGCTTTGGCTAACAAATTGTTGAGAAAGAGGGGTCTAACTGCTATATGCTTGAAATCTGTCCTTATTTATAGGTGTCGGTGATGTAAAGTTCATCTGAATCTCCGTTCTATATCATACTGAAAGCTGAACTTCGAGAAAACCATGTCGAGACAAGCGTCCAGTATGCACTCGGTAGTAATTCAATTAATTGTTTGGGAGAAAGTTGGGAACCGTCTGAACAGTCGAAAAGTGTTTGAGCAGTCATACTTATTAATAAGGATGTTAACTCGTGATGGAAGCGAAAAAATAGCGACTGAGCCTTCTCAGCTGCATACTAGTTCAAATCAGCCATAGGATGCCTTGAGTGTTCGGATACAGGCTGTAAGTTTATTTAGCTATTATCTAACTGAATGGTGGCATTCGTCCCGGGCTGACATCAATTGGAGAATCATTGAAGGCCTGGGAGCACTGGACATCTGTTTTGTTTTAGTATACGACTCCTCAGTGGTGCGCACCCATGACCACTGATGTCAGTTTTTGATGAATACCAGCTGATGAGTTCCAAATAAGACGAAATACGCATCCTGGACTCCATTGTTAGCCACTATCCATCACTACTATATAGAATTAAAACACAAGCAATATCGAAGCATTCCTGCAGGAGCCCAAATGTCAATAGAGACCGACCAATTCGGTCCAATCAACGATAGTATAATACAAGTGATTATACTAATTGTATATTGGTGCCACTACGAACCTATTATGTGTTGAGGATACAATATTAACGCGATAACTAAATATCTTATATATTTTCCTTAGTGCAAATCAGCATAAGTTTGTGACTACCAGCTGTTGGCTATCAAACAAGTCTTGATTCCCGGTGGTTATAAAAACTAACTTTCATTGATAGCATTCAGCTTTCGCTTGAATTTTTTAATTACTTCTTGTTCATGAAATATGACATTTTTATCTTTCAGGTTATGAAATGGAATTTAAGTTTACGTTTCTGGACTGGTAGATGGTATCCGTTTGAAGTTGCCTGGAAATTTATGACAAACTTTGGGAAGATTTAAACATCAACCACTGAGCAGTTGGTTTTCTCTATTCTTTAACTTATCAAATCAAGGATACAAGGTTACAAACACTAATTTCTTGATCCTTGAATCAATGATTTCTTAGTGACCTCACTAATATTTAATTAATATGTAACTATAAATAAATTATAACGATAAATCAAGCCTAAATCAATGTGTTCATGAAAAGACACTTTACAACCAGGTGAATAACTGACATCAAATATACAGTTACATAAATTATGCTTGTTTATCCATCTGTTTACTTCATTTCACCTGTAATTATCCACTGAACATTGTACAATTACTGGTAACCTTGGTTACTATCAGCAATAAACAAATCATATGTGAATGGTTAGAAAGTTATTCATGCATAAGAACAGCATGAAGAAATACAGTTTCTTCAATTAATTAGAATAACACTTTGAATAGAATTTGACCGTAAAATAACAGACTGTTATTTGATAAGTGATACTTATGAATTTATTTAACTATCTAGAAAGAAAAAGAGCCCATGCAGTCAAAACTATGATTATTAATATTCAATTTGTCCAATAGTAGTTTGTTTTAATCATGTATTAACGTTAACTGCATACCGAATGCCTAGAGGCAGTTTGAACTAGTAAATAAATTGAAGCAATGACAAGTAACCACCAAAATCTTTGAAATTATTTCACCTTTCTTCACTTACATCACCTATGATCATCTAATCTGATGGTAACTAACTGTTTTATAAATGAGTTTATTTGTTTATATATATCTCTATGAAATACGAAAATTGGGTGAACGCTTTAGAAATTTAGTGCCATTTATCGAAATAAATGATGTGTTATTTCTGTCCTATGCAAACATAGAAAGGTAATCTGAAAGGGCACTTGTCATATAAAATACCAATAATTCTTCTCATGAATGAATTCTAGCAAAACTTAACGAATTCACTGGTTACGTAGTCCAATCTGTAAGCATAATCTAACTTAGATTTTCAAGTTGTGATAAAACTGCTTAATCTCCCATCACTGTTGATTTCAGCTGTACTAAGTACACGTACCACAAGCCTCTATTTTTCAGTACAGTTTGGCTAGAGATCTAACCACTTCATACATTGTTACCATGTTTCGACTGAACTGTAGCATGTAATTATCCCTAGTATTCTCTGATTAGTTTTAGATTCCATGGTGAGTAAAGTATAACTGCATTTCTTGTTTACTTTTATTCAAGTCAACTGCCTTGACTATTACAATGAAACCAAAATGCTTAATCCTTTGTAATGGATTCTCCAAAGTAATAATTCCAGATAGTATTTGTAGACAGACAGAAGAAATCACTGTAGAACCTCACACACAAGTGTATCACCTCAATTTGCCACACTTCACAGCAGCATACAAACAACAGATGAATTAAAAAAGAGTGATATTAAAATAGATAAAGTTGTGTGAGAGAACGAATAGTTTATATTCAAGCTTTAGAAAGCGTCAAAGAGTGGATACATCTGCCCCATTGAAACCGATTTTTAACCATGTCACCAAGAGTCCTCAACCATTGATTCTTGTCATCCCGGCGACCTCAACCGAGCAGTCTGCATCTTCCTACATGACTGAGACCAACAGTTTAGGACTTCATGGGCTGGTACCAGTTCATTCAGGGACTTCAGTGAATAGTGCCATATCTTCCTCCGGTCATCAACCAATCCTCTTCCAACCTAATCTAACTTTCTGTAGCATGCACATAGAGGTAGGGGGTGACTCGATATGTGCAGTACATGTGCAAGGCGTCTCAGTCGACTACGGTTTACAACATCATCAGTCGACTTCCCTGTCCTGCTTAGTACCCTTCGTCTCACCTCAACATTGCTTACACTGTGATTCCACCATACACGAACAATTCTACGAAGACATCTGTGATAAAAAGCTTGTAACCGTTTAGTGCCTTCAACTCTCAGTGTCCATACCTCACAGCTGTTCAGCATGAAAGAACGGACTGTAGAGCAGTATATTCGTCCTTCGATAAATATTCGGATATCTCACCATTCGGCGCAACATAGATGACACAAGTATCCAAGCTGAGATTTCGTCAGCAACCAACCCGTCGGGTGGGCTGATGCAAGTGTCCAAGTGAATGAAGTGGTTGAGATGTTCATAATAAATCAACCGATGGGGCCGATATAAGACAGATACGATATAACTTCATTACTGATCAGCTTAGATAGGAATAATTTTTAAATTGATACAATTAAGTAACCACGAAATACTGAGATCAATTTAACACTTTACTGTGAATTATTAAATTAACAAAAGCTTCATTGCTACTGATAGCATTGTTGTTATTAATTTAAACAAAAGGTAGTTCAATTGTTAATGAATTTTATCAACAAATAGATAAACAGTTTTAACAGGCAAAAAGTATAATCTGCATCAGTTTAAGCAAATATGTAAGTAAAGAAATGAACTTTTCAACTCTACTATTCATTCATTATATAAAAATTCAGTTGAGAAACTTTGATTTTAGAAACTTTACCATCTTTGGTAAACGTCTACATTCATAGATAAAAGAGAAATTAGTATCTGTAGTCCCATTAAGGGTTGCCTTTTCAATTTCAGACCATCTCTGTTCTGCTATCTGAAGACTAGGTAATAACTCTTCACTTGATATCAATGTTGCAGCGGAATTCAACTCTTCCAAGTTAATTACGGGTTCACCTTGATCAATATATGTATCCTTATCAAAGAATAATACTATATATTTGTTAGTTGTAATCAATTCACAAGGACATTCATTAAAATTAGGCATTTGTAAAGTTGTATTCCAACTTGCAGTATATCTGGATTGTGATATATGTGTTACTGTAGCATTTATACTACTACTGTTTATATTCTCTTGTACTTTTATAAAGTAAAAACCATTTGAATAGTTACACACTGAAGTGAATATGCTGTCTGCAAGTGATTGAATATCAGTAACCTTGTCTATGCATACAGGACAAGGGGTTTTCATTTTAAATGTTGTGGTTTCTGAGAAATTGTCAGTTATAATTGTTGATTCAGTTGATGTAACTGGCAATATTTCAGTTGGGATAGGCGTTTCAGGCAAATCCCAAGCATCTCGACATTCATTCAGTCTATAAGTGACTGTAACACTTTCCTCTGGTGTATAATATTCATTTGCGATAATTGTTGCATTCTTTACATTTTCAACATAATGAACTTGATGTAATGGTACATCGATACATCGTTTCAACTTTTCCCAACTACCTAATGTATTAACTTCATCTTCAGAGAATTCATTAAAGTATAAAGAAATTTCATTTTGTTCATTAATTGTAATCATTTTTAAGGAATCATCTTCAATACCTAATTGTGAATTCAATTCTTCAATGATTGGCTCCCAACCTGTAACCATAGCCACTCGTATTAATAACATCCCAGTATTGATTGGCTTTTCATCTGTTCTGGCATTTAATCTTAGACACATAACCAGTTTAGCAGATTTACAGTTTATGTCAATTGGAGAAGTCTGCTGAATTATATTGAAGGATAATTTTAACTTTGTCTTATTATCTTCTACCTCTGGTAAATTGTAGATAAAGGTATTTTGTACTAACATACAATCTCGTTGTGATTGATTACTTTTTAACTTCCAAATGGAATGGATTACTTGATTGTCTGTTTTCAGATGAGAATTTGATAATTCAAATTGATTGATAACTTGTCTTTTCTGTGGTGTAATTGAATCATTCAATGTAAAATGTCCAATATCCATTGAATTAGAAATCATAAGAACATTGGATGATATATTTTGATCAGGTAGACTAGAGGATATACCTAATTTCTTAGCGAATTGTGCTATTGCTTCAATTCCAAGTACTGTATCTTGTGTAGAATAGAAACCACCATTGGATTTTTGTTGAGAACTTATCCAACGTATTATTGGGAATAATTCATTCACTGATTGATTGATTTTATTTAGACTTAAAAAGGCATAGGCTGTTGATTCTAAGTCACGTGGTCGATTGTTATCAATAGAACCTGTTGGATTACTTATTGTAAAATTAGATTCACTTGTAGCCATTTCAGTCCAATAGGCTTTTGTCTCAAACTGATCAGTGGTTACCTGTTTTCTTTTGATTACTTGATTTAGTAAGTTTACAGTCAGCTCAGAGTTTGGTTGAATTAATGTATACATATGGGTTAATTGTACAATTACCGATGTTGGCACTTCATCGAGTAGGTCATGACTCAATAGATTTTGACTGATACACTTCAAAGCAGCATCATACGACTTTTCTACCTCACTGGTATACTTTACATGATTGTTATCAACATTTTCTGGTCGTGTTTCAAATAAAGCTGAACTAACATAACTGGTGAGTAGTATATCCTTCCATTCTGATTGATCTGTCCCAGTTATCCCCTGTAATGGTGAATACAAAACTTTTCCATGCTCTTCAAAGCATCCAGTCTCATTGTTTTGACGTGATATCAGAAATTTTATGCTATCATTGAACAAATTCCCCCATTCAATGCTTAAACTTGGCTCTAATTTATAAGCCTTTGCAAATACACGTAATACAAATGCTGTCAGCCATGTACTGCCTTCTTTATCCGATTTACCGAATGCAGAAAATGATCCATCATCTCGACGATATTTCAATTGTTGTATATAACCGGATACAATATGTGATTTAGCTGTTTGTATATATTTTGCTTTATTCTCATTTGAATCAATGCTTGGCGTAGACTTTAAATAGTCTAGAATGTAGACATTTGGCGCCACTAATACCATATTCTGTTCACCACAACCAGTTGGTAAGCGGACAAGGTTATCTAAATTTACTAATGCTGGACCTAAAACTTCATCACTGTATGCTATATAACTGTGTAGTGAATCTTTTATCAAATCTTTAGGTAAAATGAACTGAAATTCACGTTTTGATTCGGTTACCTGTTCATTTAAGCATAGAATATCACTGATGGTTGTTTCATGTTGAACACCTTCAGGTATTACATTAATTTGACGACGAATTTTATCAGTTAACACTTTGGATTGAAGTTTTTTTGTTTTCAATGTTTTTAAGTCAAATATTAAAGCATTCTGGTCAGTCTCACTATGTTCAATAGGCTTGCATGATTGACCTTTCCTAATGGCCAATGATTCAGCAGTAATATTCAACTGACCTAACCGTTGGGGTAATAATCCCACTAGAAAAGTTTTCTTGTCACCGGAACATAAGCAATCAGAGTAGGTACTTGTACTAACAATTAACCATTCACTACTGTTCACTTGTACATTAACAGAAATTTCATAACATTCTATTGAAGTGAACTTTTCTTCCACTGTTTGTAAATACTTTCTGTCCAGAATAAATACACTTATGGGAATGTGTATAATTTCACCACGTTTCATTTCTTTTGGTAAAGTTATCTCCAGATAAAAAGGCATACTCACAGTTAGTGTTTCCGGTTCCCAATCCATAAACCATTTGCTTTAGTCGTACAATAGGCGGATGCTCTCCAACTTGTTATCGTGTCTGGCACAGTAAGATTTAATTTTACTCCTTTTAGTTGACTGTTTCCCTAGATTCTGTGTTTTCAACTTCCTCATCACCGTTAGTTATGACCTGTATATCAGTGATAGGAAAGACTTTGAACAACCATACTTCAGGGAAGAAGTCTCGCAACCGGGGTTTCACTGATGTAAACATGCTTTTATGCATTTCACCTGCCACTGGATGTCGTCCACCAGCTCGAAGATTGTTGCCGTTAATATTGCTGTCATCAAGGACAGATTCTTCCACAGAACTCGAGTAGGCAAGATAAGGGCATGGATAAAGATTATGAACAAACACTGGTTCCGGGTATGTTGAAGCTAGTTGAAAACCGGCAGCCTGAAATGCTTCATTTGTTGAGGTAGCACCAATAGGTCGGAATGCATTTTGCATGGCGAAATCAGTTAACTTTTCAGAAAACGATTTTAAATTGATCAGGTTTTTGTCACCTTGGAAGTTGTCTAATGATATGTCAGAGATTCTAACGAAGCAAACTTCATTTGACAACTGACTATTGTTATGGTAGAAGTTTGTTGAAATATTCTTCAATCCATATCGTTCACCTGTTAGTGATGATGAAACACCTTGTGGAGTGATAGTCATTTCAATATTTTGTCCAGGATCAACAATTTTCCCACTAAATTCAATGCTAGTTTTATGTGACTCTGACTGAAGTGCAATTGCACTACTTGAACAGTTTTCAATCTTTTCCACAGTGAGTTGTGTTGAAATTACTTCAGGAGATAATGCATCCTGTTGATGATGAACATAAATCACAGCTGTAAACTTTGGTCCCCATGATCCATCGATTTTAAATTCTATATCACGTTGATAAAATGTCCGAACTGGTTTGGTGTCTATTTCTGAAGGTGATGTTGTAGTAGAGGAGGAGGAGGTGGTCATGGTCGTCATAATGAAAGATGGATTATCTAAAGCGTCAGCGGGGATTTTTTCACTTAGAACTTCTGAATTATTTGTCTTAGAAACTTCTTCATCTTCTTCATAAGTTACAGTTTTACGATCACAAGTATAGCCAGTCCATCCAGCTTCACAGACACAATCATTACCACGTATGCATTTTCCGTGTAAACACTTTTCACGTATAACACAGTGATTACAAGTAACACCAGTCCATCCTGATTTACACTGACATTCACCAGGTTTTGAACAGAAACCACCAGTTCGATCACAGTCTTTAGAACAAATTGGTACTAAACAGTTTTGACCATTCCAACCTGGTAGGCATTTTATTTCCTCTGGACTCGTATCCAAGCATGTATAATGTCCTAATTCATCATCTCTATCAACACATTTATCATAGGTATCACTTCCATTCTCTGGTGGTATAACAATCTTTAAATGTTCACCTCTTACTAGAGATTCGATGAAAATGTCTTTATCTGATAAACGTACATTTGACAATAGGGTGAGTTTGACTAAATTTGGACATTTTGTGATAATTTTCTCTTGAGGTGGCCATAACTGTAAATAAATTTTACTAACTGAATCCCATGATCGTAAAGTTACACTATCGGTAACTAGATTTTCATATGATTGTGGTTTATTGAACCAGAAATTATTAGACGGTATTCTTCTTTGTTCAGAGAGAATTTTATTTATATCCTCTGAATCGTTTTTCGCTTCTTTTCCCACTGAAGATGGTGATAGCAATTCAGCTTCAATGATTATTAGCTCCTCAGAATGAAGTGGTGGTATATGGATTACAGCTTCGTCAAATGAATTCAGTGGTATAATATCTAGGTAGTGTTCAACACCTCTTTCACTATCTCGCCAATAACAACCCCATTTCTGTTCAGACACAGATACTTTTACACTATAATTGGTATTCTTTTGATAGTTTGCAAGTCTCACTCTTCCACTTATCGGTAGTTTTGATTTATAAACACTTGGGAATTCTAACTTTAAAGTTGGTTGATTAAATTTGATCTCATCACCTTTCAAACAGTTATAAAGTTTAGAACCAGTACCATCTTCTTCTACATGGGCACATAAGATGCTTATCTGATTCCATTGAGGATATTTATCTGTAGATAGAGCGAAATCTTTAACTGACACATTGAATTTTGCACAACCATCAACTTCCAATGGTTGATTGTGTGTAATACATGGTCTGTGTTTTGATTCATAACCGTCAGAGGGGCACTTACGAGTCTGTAATATAGCTTCTACAGTTTTTTCATTATCCAGTTGGTGAAACTTTTCATCCCAAGCATATCTAGAACAGGCACACAAAATTGACCTTGTATGCCCTTTAAGTGGTGGTCCATTTGTGTATTTTGCACATATTGAATATTGTACATATTCTGAGTCAACATTGAAAACCTTTGGAGTTTCTAGTAAAGTGGTAAATTTTGGAAGCGTGTATTTCTTTACTGTAAATTCAAGTGTTTCTTTCTTATACCGTCCGATAACAGCATGGACTTTCCATTGGCCTTCTTTAGCTGTTTTCAGTAGAGTATAGCTTAGATTTGTTGCTTGTTTGGTGTAACCTTTACCCATTTTCTAACACGATTATCCATAGGATCAGTTATATAGATTTCCTTATAAATTATATTTTCCAGTTTAAATAATTCAGTTTTACTCATATTCTTTAATTCACCCATAGATGCTTTTTTAATCACAAGTTTTTTCCTAGGCAGAGGAATAGTACTTGATTTCGGTGATAAACTGTTTGTATTTAACGCTAAATACCGAAAATGTATAGACTCACCGGGTCTATATAAGGGTTTATCAGTTTCACCGAGGATTACTATCGGTAGTTGTTTCAACAGAACAGAATGCACGACTTCAGTACTTTCATTTCTGGTACACTGGTCAATATTCTCAAGATCATCATCATCATCATCTCTGGCATGGTTGTTGTTTAAACAGTGTGTGAATCGAAATATTAATTTCACGCGTAGAGAATCATCATGATCAAAGACAAAAGGAATCTTATATGGAATATCTAAACCATACCAATTCTGTGGTACATCTAATCGATGCAACTTGTAAACACTTTCATCCTTGATTGTATCCGATAATTCAGTTAAATTCATAAAGATTTGTAATTTAGTTCTTGGTTCACGACTGTGAACTGTAATTAAATTTGTTTGGCCTAAATAAAATTCACTTGGTAGGATAACATAAGTCACATTGACTGAATCAAAATGTGAACTTGATAATGTAGGATAAGAATCATTTGTAGTAACAGTTCCAGTCGATCCATGTTCATTATTTGTACTGAAGGTGTTAGAACTGTTGGAATTGTCCACAGCATGAGTTACATTTGGTTGATGATCATTTTCATTGAAAGTATCATTCATATCATCTTGATAAGGAAGTAATTCTGGTTGAGTTTTCTCAATACTTCTGACAATAGTAGTTGTGAATTCATCTTTACTGAATATATCATTGACAGATGTAGTCGTTGGTACATGAAGAGTTTGATTATTCTGTGCGTTACAGCTGATAATTAACGTGCATAAGATTAGTAAAGCTATCATTTTGCGTTTATCATCAGTTATGGTATAAAGCATAATAATGATGATAATTCAAAATATGTGAAACCACCTCCTTATATATAAGTGTAGTTTACAAGTGAAGTTTAATGTTTGTTAATTCATATTGGTATAAGTATACTTGTGCATGTCTTTGTGTGTACGTATGTGTGTATGTGTTGTGAATTTGTGAATATCCAGTTAAATCTACAAAAACACTTACTGACACATTCTTCATGAAAACTGTTTTCATACATTTATGTTATGTATTACTTTTCATACTGTCTACAGTAATGATGACCTAATTTGACAATTACTCGTTATACAACAACTGCTATTATACCATATTACACTAGTACTTACGATAATATCACGAGAGTTAGGCGCTTACATGTGATTGTATATTGTTTGCATATTCATAGTCTATTAAGATTATTTAAAACTACTAGTCATTGTTGAGGTAGAGGGAGAGAAAAAAAAGTGACTAAGTTAAGAATCCACAGTAAGTAACTAAAACGTAACATTCCGACTCTCTGAGATGGCCGCCGTTTGGCAGATACTGCGTGACCAGTGACCACCGGTCCGGTCACGCAGTATCAATACTAGTCTGCCGAATTGCGGCTATCTCAAGTAGTCAGAATGATAATGAATATGATGCTCCCCCTCTCTAATTCAGTTAGATTGGGATTGGGATGAGAAGTCCTGATCGAGCAGCCAGTATGAATACGATCAAGCGGTAGTAACATTTCAGGAATTCACATGGTAGTGGGACAAAACCCTTGATGATTGAAGTGAAATAAAAGCCCGGTCTACAGTCAGACCATATAGCTCAGTTGACACAGGATTGGGCTTGAAACCCGGCGATCTCTAGTTCGAATCCCACCGAGGTTCGAGTTTTCATTTCACCTTCCGTCATCACCCAGTATCAAATATCATGGTTAGAATGGCATAATAGACTCAAATTTAAGGTTAGTAACACTCCAATCCATACTTGTCGAAAATGAAGTGACTAGGAGACCGCAGTAGTTCTAACGGTTACATCAGTAGTGACGTAGATATCACAAATGAGAAGCCGTGACCTGTGGAGTCAACTAGTGGGAAGCGAAGCGGATGGCAACTGAAGACGTTGGTGGATAGTTGCGTTATATCATGAAGTAGGGGGAATGTGAACGATTGAACTGCAACTCAGTGTCTGAATGGTTAACGCTTTCGCTATGAGACCTATGGGTCTTGAGTTCGACGCATGGCGGCATCGTGGGTAGGTACTGCTGAAAATTCTTATACTGGGACAAAACAGCTGTCCAGTGCTCCTAGGTTTTCAATGGCTCTCCAACTGATATCAATCCATGATGAATACTTCCTCAGAAATAAAATCCCGACAAATTTCAAACTAAAATATCGGAGATAAAATTCCATAACAGACCTAATGAGTGGTAACCTTGAAATACATACTTGCCAGAAATGAAGTTTCAAGGAAACCGCATTGGTTTTGACAGTTACATTGGTGAAATTTAAAGCTTCAGCTATCTGTTCCAACAGCTGATGGCTAGATTCTAGTTTCATCTCATCTGCTCAATGAATGTTATACTTCATTATCTTAGAGATGATCTACTCAAGAATGTTCACTTTTCTTTTGAATCAATTCTCAAATCACACTTTTAAAGCATAATCCAAAAGCAACTGAATAAAGCAAATAGGAATTTTTCCCACTAGCTATCAAAAGTGTCTAAGGTGGTCCTAGTTGGTATACTTTGATATTTTACAGAGATGGTGACTGGATTTGGGATGGTACGTGTTAGTGAAATAGTAGAAAAGAAAAATATCTCCGGATGAGGATGATAATTTTTTGGTATTCTCCAATATTTAAGATTTCTTACCGAACGTTTCATTACCAGGCTAGGAAACTTTGTCAGCACTTACTTTACAGAGAACAAAAATGAATTAATCTGATCGTTGGAGGTAATCAGCAAGAAGGCTTGCCAAACTTAAGTTTCATAATTGTTGGAATTCGTTAGTAAGGTGCAACCTCGAGGGAACTGATATCCTGCATGAGACTTCACTTCGCTTTACACTATGCTGCAGTCACAGATTTTACCAGTGAGCAATTCGAGTTGTAACTGACCTCCTACAGGACTAAACTGGGTGCACTGGTTGGTCACTGCAGAGTAACCAATTTCGTCAGCATCGATCGAATTCTACCTGTCATTTTGTAAAGTGGTCAATGGTTTAGGGAACTCAGCATCAAGAGGGACTTCAGTTGTTGGTAGATGTTTGGAGACAATAGACAGAAAGCTCCGGACGTGGGTTTCATGCCTATTTGCACTCGTCATTAAAATGAATCTGTTGATTTACTTCCTGTTTTTCAGAAATGCTGACTGAAACTGGAACAGAGCTCGTGTATTTGATCAATTGAACCACGTACCTCCTGAATACTGTTTCACTGGTCAGACTACAGGCTAGATTCCTTTACTCCAATCCTCCCACTGAGTGTTGCATATTACTGAACTGGAGACCGATCGCTTCAAACGCTAGAGCGTTATCCACTGCACCACCGAGTCATGATAGCCACTTCTTGTGCGACGGGTACAGTTTTAAGATTCGAGTCCTAGTGGGAACAACATCGTTCACTGGGAGGCAGATACATCCAGCTGGCGAGTCTCGCATAGGACGAAATACGCATCCTGTTTTCCATTACTAGCAACTATTCATCAATAATAAATGATACTTTGGTATACACAGTTATTCTAGACAAGCAGGAGTAAAACTTAAGGGTTGAACGAACAGCGTTGTTCATTCTTATCTCTGCCAACAAACGCTGCACGTAGGTGAAATAGGGCATCCTGCAAACTGACCACTATGTACCATCGAAAAACGAGTATTTGTGTGCAGGTGATAACGTAATATAATCCGTAACATGATGAAAGTAGTGAGAAGAGCTTAGATTTTTACAAGGTGTGAATTGTTTCTATATGCGAAGTAGCATTGTTAACCGTCCGTCTACCATGTGAAAAGACGGTGAAGACGCGAAAAAGGGTTATAATAAAAGTGAAAATACAATGAGAATTGACCTCACATTCTTGAATTTTTGTTTATGTTTCCAGTCATTTATTTTCGTCTCGTACCATGTAAACTTTTATTTTCATGTTTCAAGTAATACTTGAATTTAAAAAAATGTTTTCATTTATTTCCGTTAGAGAATTGTCGCTTGACTAATAGTTTGAATTCAATGACACTTGTAATACCCCGATGATCATCCCATCGAACTGGAGTGAATGATCTCTGCTGATAGATGAGCTCCTGGAGGAGTGTTTCGATACCGTCTAAAGCAATGGGTTCTGGGTTTCAATTTCACTCTGGACAAAATCACTCACAACGGTGCAAGTATACCCTGCTGATGAGTAGTAAATATGATGAAACACTTGTCTTAGATCTCACAGCTAACCCCTAACAGATAAATGGCACAATAGTTTTAATCCCTATTGGTGAGATACAATAAGGACACAAATGTACCACTGAGTGTGAATGAGGTCAGCAATACAGCAGATAGGGAAACAAGAGTGGTCTCATCTGGGCTGTAGTTACTATAAATGACTCACAAATGATTAGCTGAAAGAAGACATATTATTTTAAGGGATGTATTCAAAAGCCTACCTGAATCTATTGCGAAATCTACTGGACAATGAGGGATGGACTGATACATTATCATACATGTCACTAATTATACCCAGTGTACTGGCAAAGACTAGCCTTCTACTAGAAAACGTAACTCCAGCTCCCTAAAAGTTTTGTAGTAGAAACTGCGTAATCCGAAGTAAAGGTCTTTACTGATTATTTCGCTTTTCTGTTTCTTACTGATATGTATCCAAATTCCCATGAAGCCTACAGTCACTGGTTCTTCAAATGTTTTTGAAAATGAAATTATGATTGTAATGAGATGCAGTGAAAATGTTGTTCAAAATTCCAGTTTGCGCATCTAGGTGACAAGTGTTAGAAAAGACAGAAGGACAGATGATTAGTCAGTGTTTTTCACATAATATCCCAGATAGGCATTCTGCTAGGTGATGACTGAAGATGAAATGAAAATTTGAGAAATGGCAGAATTCCAATCAGCAATCACTGGGTTTCCAGACCGATCTCCCACTGCTGACCAGCCAATGCGAGTACGATCGACCGGTAGTAACGCGTCACGAATTCACCTCGACTGGTTAACTAGTTCACTAGTTGCTAGCCAGTCCTAAACCCGGATGAAGAGGGAAGGCTGAGCATAGGGCTAGCAACCCTACCATGTAAAACCAGTCCAATCGCTAAAGAAACTTCAAAGCATGAAGAAAATTCACATGGTAGTGGGTCAAAACCCTTAGTGATTCAAGTGAAATAAAAATCTGATCAGCAGTCGGACCTCATAGCTCAGTTGGTAGAGGGTCAGGTGGGCAACCCGGTGATGGCTGGTTTGAAATAGGCTGAGGTTCAAATTTTCATTTTACCTAGAATCATTGCAATATCGACATATTAATTATTAGGAGGGAAATCGACAAAATAGGAGGAAGGAGTTAAGATCGTAGTAAAACTATAGTGTATAATTTTTTCTTCATACAGAGTCAATGAATCGTCAATACTTCTCTCTTGCACATATTGTTGCCCAGAGCGACAGTTTGTACTTGGTACGTCCATGCATGACTTGTCGGCTAGAGAAGACAATCTTGAGTTGGATGCGAAAAAATTGTTTCTTTTGAAAATTTTCCCTCTCATTTCACATTTGTAGATTCGATTCAGAAATGTAATTTCCTTCAGAATAATTGGAAGTCTTTCAACATGATTTTGTCAAATTCATAGGTTTTCTTAACAAATCCACCGTCGATTGTATATTCCGTTCAAATGTATCTGGTTCGTAACCACGACAAACGAAACTAAGTTTCTTTTTCTGTTCAGAGTACTTAACAATGGTCAGTCAAAAACTACTGAACGCTATTTAGTCAGATATTTACAATCAGAAAAATAAAATCAATGAAATTCACGTAAATTTAACATGAAAATATAGA